ATCCATTTATTTATGACCTTAATTGCAGTATCAGGGTTTAATCTGTGAGTTAGCCGTGCCCTGACTTAGATCAGCCCAGAGGTTGTTCCAGGGTTTAATCTGTGAGTTAGCCATGCCCTGACTTAGATCAGCCCAGACGGATGTTTCAGGGTTCGATCTGTAAATTATTTCACGCGTTTATACGTTAAACTGAAAAATGAACTATATACAAAAGTTGGCACAGCAGACAGTTAAACGGCTTCCAAATTGTATTGTATCATCAAAAAAAMCCCATAAAATTGATCTATTTATCTTTTCAGCTTGAATCTAAATAACTAGCTATAAAGAACTGTGGCGGATTTAGGGGGGGGGGGGTTCATTGGGTGCAAATGAACCCCCCCCTCCCCAACCGGCTGGTACCTTGGATTTTTTATATATATTTTTAAATAAATAAATAAAATTATGGTACTAACTCATGAGATTTAATATGAAATGGGACTGGTGGATAGGCTATCCCTATCAGGAGCGGCCCTAGGGCAGTGATGTGTGCCTCATGGGAAAAATGATGATGCAAGAGAACGTTGTTGTTGTGGCGAGATTTGCAAAAATGAACCCCCCCTCTTAAAGACCTGGATCCGCCACTGAAGAACGCAATTACTATAAAATAAAGATATCTTCATTACTTTATAATATTAGTGAATACTTAAATTTAGCAATAGTTTGTTTACCATATAAATTTTTGATGTGAATAGCAAAAAACACCAGATCGGCTAAAGTATGACAATTACGTGTTAATCATAAGTAAAGCCACCAAAGTGCTAGAATAAAAAAATGCTTTGCGGGAAAAGCCACTTTGGCGCAATGTCGAGGAAGTCACGGTTTAATGCGAAAGCCATTTCAATTTTGCTGCCAGAGCAGTGTTTACAATTAAAAAACATAAAACARCATAAGAATCAATGGTTAAAACTTTATCGGGGAATCCATTACAACGCTTTTTTGAGGTAAAAATTAATAGGYTTGCAAACCAATTCAGTGTTGAATCTATTCGACACCAATAGACAAAAGCAGGTTTAATAGGGGGCTTCAGATGCACCACTATCTGTGAAAAGCTCAGCGGTGCAAAAAAGCCATTTTGCTGTCAAATTTGTGTTTATATCAAGAGAGAGAGAGAGCGACAATGAAACGGTTTTTTCTCGTTCTGCAAATGCAAATATTGGGAAGCCACTTGAGTGTTGAAACTAGAACCTGCTAAGTTTTTCATCATTTTCAAGAGGGTGAAACATAATTGATATATTTTTATCCCCATTATTTTGCCCTAACTAATATTTCCAAGTGTCGTTGAAAGCCATAAACAGTCGTGCTGCGCCCTTCCTGTGGATAATGAAAATATTTGTCGTGAGATCCACTCTGCTTTTATTGTATCAAAAATATTAATCTACGCGAACCACAGGGAGCTTAATCACTCTCTATGCTAATGTCCGCTGATATCGGAATTGCTAGGTCTTTTTGTCCTATTTCACCTTGTTTTATTTCCATCAAACAGCTCTGGACTGGCTTACTTTTGCATTTAGATGATTTTCGATTCTAGCACTTCAATGGCTTACACAGGCGACTGAACACTTAAATGGGTTCTCGGAACCAATCACCTGTCAGCAAMCAGGGTTTTAGGTATTAAATAACACCACCCAGCATTGAATAGGGTTCCAGAAGAACAATCAATTGGCTTTCCTGTGGAATGAAYCTGAATCTATTAACGAACATCAGTCAGTTTTAGCTGAATTGAGTTATAAGGACAAAACAATTTTTGATGACACTCGAATGGTATCTTAAACCGAATTAACCCGGCACAGATGACACGAGTTGGTAGCTAGTCGATTGCCCACAGTACATCGTGAAAGGGAAAAGACGCAACTATACTGAATCTTGAAACTCGGACCAACAGGTTTGTTGTTGACAAAGAAAAGCCAATTTGCTGTCGTTTGGGATTAGTTTGCTGGCGCTGATTATCAATAACAATACGCGACTAAAATATTTGAATCATGGTTATTGACGTTTTCGTGTTTACATCTTTAACTTATGTCAAACGAAAGATTACATTCTGTTTTTTTTTCTCTCTCTAAAATCATCTTTATTTACTCAAATCTAGCTTATACTGATTTATGGATTTTGCAGTCATTTGTAGGTTTAGACACTACATCATGCTTGACTCTGGCACAGACGATGTGTCTGACTTGGGCTACCGCAATGAATGATAAAAACGTTTTACTTAAGGCTTCTTCAATAATCCAAACGAAAAACAAACAAACAAACAAACAAAAATCATTTACAATTTAATGTACGATAACTTTTCAACCTAAATATGAGACAACAAAGCTAAGTTATAGTATAAAGAGTAAAAAGAATAGTAATTAAGGATTTTAGTTTAAAATTGGCATATATAAAAGATAATTAGGGCTTTGGATGTTATGAAAACCAAAACAAAGATTGTTTAGCTTCTGATAAAAATTTCGATTCTTTTTAGTGTAAAAAAAAAGAAAAGAAAAAAATTATTGGAGAGCCTAAGAATTTATTCTTTTATTGTAAAGCTTAAGGATAAACTGAAAACGATAATACTGAAAGAATGTCAGTATAACTTGCAGTTTGATTGAATCAAAACACGAGACGTTATTGACTATAGTATATAACTCCGTATTATTCTACATATTATCTTCCCAACTTATTGCAATTTCAAAAACACTTATATCATTTTAGCCAATCAAAGTCCAAACTCAATATAGAAAATTAGAATTCCAATTATAAGGAAATTCACCTAATTGGTCCTTAAAATGAAATGCCTGAGGTTATGATGAATTAATTAGTCRTTAGCCATTATATATCTAGCACTTGTTTATTTTCTGCTTCTTGTAGTAAAAGGCCTTAAGGCTGCGTTCATAATGTATGGCAGAAGGAAGAGGGGAGGGGGGGGGGGCAGGTGACATCTTTAAATGACAAAAAAATTCTTAAGAACCCCCTTGCAGTCCCTTAAAAAAATAACTACCCCCCCCCCCACGGGCAATCCGGGTGAACACTAAGTCTGAAAAACCAGACTATTTACCAAACCCTGCATATTTTTTTGCCAACAACTCTCYATCAATTTTAATGTCATTTATTATATCCTCAATGATATATTTCGTGCTGCCGGTAAATAATAGATAGACGTCAGTTTCTATAACTAGTAATCCGTGGCGGATCCAGGGGGGTTCGAAGGGGTCCACGGARCCCCCCTTGAAGGTTTGATCTTTTAGGTAATAGAAATACGTCTATACATTTTGCTTGAAAGTATCCACAAAGATAATGTTGAACACGAAATGATAGATATTTGCGGTTATAATGTTTAATTTACCTAAGTTCCGTTACTAGATAGTAAATTAGGTGATTAGAGCCAATTTTTTGTCAAACATCGACTAAACAAAAGAGAATTATACACAGTTTAARAAACGGAACCCCCTTTGAAAAATCCTGGATCTGCCACTGGTAATAACATATGTTCTTTTAAGAATATTTTCGAGTGATTATTGATCTACTTTCCGGCTTTTAAGCAATAAAAATTTTAAATACTAAAATGGCAAGGAAAATACAAGATGCACAACAGTTTTCCTCTTGAATACGAATACAGTATGATAGCCCCCCCCCCCCCCCCCCCCCCCCCCCCCCCCGGGGATACTGGCGGAATAAGAGCTCGATCGATATTTATCTTTTTTTATTTATTTAACCATATRTTTTCTAATTTTTATAGACTATTTTGCTTAGAAAATAAGGGATAAGTTTGACTTCTGTCTTGAGCTTTTACAGGGAGGGTGCACATCGAATAAAATCGGACCATTGATCGTTTTTT